TACCTATTGATAATATCAAAGGCATCTCATAATTTAACAGGATGGGTAGTGTTCAATTCCCTATCCGACAAAGATATGAAGGAAAATTTGGCAATTCTGTGATGTTTTTTTTTGTTCTGTGGCTGTTTCCGTTTCACACAGAAATTTCGCCAATATCCCGTAGTGAGAGAGACACGGTATAATAGAGATTGCTCGGTATTTATACAAATAAAATTTTTATATTTTATCCGAATAACCCTTCTTCCTTGAGAACACAGGTTTAAATTATTACTATATAAAGTGTAGGTAATTTAATCGGTAGAGAAAAAAAAGGTTTAGTTATATTTATGTTTGTAACTCCCATTAATATAAATTGCGACAAGCGTATTTCATGACTAAATAGAGATTCGATGTAGATGCGTTTGCTTAATATAGCTATCGGCAGCCCTTTTACGCGCTCCCACCTTTTGTGACAGTAAAAAAAATGATATATTCATAGATACACAACAAACAGGTATTTTCATAAATGTCTATTGTTGCACTGACTATTTAATCGACCTTGTACAAATGAAACAATTGTATTATTTCATAATATGAATACACTTTATATATATATATATACATCTAGCCTAAATGGTGGAAATATTGAACAAAAGTCAAGTTGATTTTTATATTTTAATCCTTTTATTAGTTCATTAATTTCCCCAGTAAATGTTAACAATATATTGCATCGCACGAAACATTAAATAATCATCGCTCAAACATTTCTTTGTACTAGAAGATTAGTATAAAAGAATGAAAAGATTTTTCAAAGCGTCTCTCTAATTTAAATCAACTTTTCACTTTCACAATGTAACTTGGATAAATAAGATAAATATAATTTTAAAATTAAATATAAAGTCATAAGGAAATTTATTTTATTTTAATTATAAAAACACTTTGATTAAATTTCCTCGTTTTCTCTACATAAGAATATTTTTTTTTGTCACAAAAAAATTAATAAGGGGTATACAATTAGATAAAATTGATTTTCTTTATTTATTTAGGACATGCTCAGACAGTGCTCTTCTGTTACTCTGGGTGTGTTATATGTCACACTTACCGCTATCAGACCGAAGTCTGAGACGAGATTACATATGAATAAAAAATCTACTTACATATAAAAAAAATAAAAAGAAAACTCACAAATCTACTTTATCGAATACCTTTGGTCGATAGATAAAGCACACTTTGCAGAAGAGTAGTGTTAATAAAAGTTTAAATCTATTTAGCAACCTTGGTGATAACTAAGTATCTAAAAGCAATCATGAACATGATTTATTATAATTTTTATCGGGTAATACCCTATTTATTTGTTAACAACTTTGACTTTCGCTCTCTGAATATCTACATAGTAAAGAAAAATAAATCTCCGAGGCTATTACAGGACAATTGAATGATCAAACGAACTTACCTAAGTGAAGTTCGATCTGAATTCTCCTGTTATCGCCGAAGAGATTTGGGATCCCGCCCACCCTAATTTTTTTACTCCCTAGTTATCTAGGATAAACTCGTCAATGTTGCCTCCTATTTTTTTAGGTATATGAGCATCGAACCGAGGAGAAGCAGCGGCGGGGCTGGGCGAAGAGAGGGGTTACTTCCGTTTTTTTTAGTGCGCTCTTAACTATGTGCGGACTGGCTGGTCGTACTGAAGGTACTACATAGTAAAGAAAAATAAATCTCGGAGGCGATAACAGGACAATTCAGATCAAAAATATTTATATTTCAATTCTTTGATGATTTTAAATTGATGAATGATAATGAATGAATAAATGTTTTCTTCTAAGGAATTTTTATTAGTTTAGAAATTTTCTAATTTATAAGTTGAACGTCTTTTACTCTTAAACTAACTAACTCTTAATCTATCTTAACCGTTATAATTTTCCTTAAAAGTTCATGAAAAGCACTATTATTCAGTCAATAACTTTTAAAAGTGCGGGGGGGGGGGGACTTCCTACTCGAATACAAAACTATAAAGTATAATATTTCGCAAACGGATTCCTAAATCGAAAATAGCCGTCGTAGGACGACCACTCCTTTGTTCATCCCCCAAAGTAAGACGACCGCGTTTGTACTCGCTACACTGCTTTTATGGATGAAGATCCTTCATCAGGTTTTAAGCCACATTTAAAATCGTAAAAAATCATAGCACGAAAATGTTCTGGATGCAGATCCATATTTTAATGAGACAAGATAAATTTCATTGGCTCTCGAAAAAATGCCAGTGTCTTAAACATAAAAACTTTTTTTCGCAAATCTTTCTGAGTGGCCTGGTACACTAATACAAAGTTTCGTGCTGAGTGATTTAACTGAGTTAATTATTTAATTTGAAAGAAACTACCTACATACATTATTTTTAAAACTGGTACACTACCTGATTATTTCTTCAGTAGCCGTTTTTTTAATTTAAATGCTTTTTCCCTAAAATCGTTATTTTTGTCTTAGATCACTTTTCATTGAACGTAAAGATTTTTCCCCTGAAGTTTATTAAATACTCTATTTATTATTACTAAAGGACAATGGGCAAAACATACCCAGCTCCGCCAATAATGTAATAATTATGAATCGATAGATCTATGAAAAACTCGCCATTTTTATTATGACACCGTAAAAAAATATAGCGGTAGTCAAGAGATATGACACAGTAAAAAATATCCTGGTAGTCAAAAGATATGACACATGGGCATATTTAAGTAGCTAAATAAATTAATATTATAGTTCCTTCATTTTAAATTATTAGTAACCATAATAATATTCCATATCGTAGTATACAACCAGATATATGACAAAGCCTGCTGACCATGCTGCGCTTGCACTTACTCAGCCACCACAAAATGGTTTACGGGGTTTGAAGGACTTGCAGTTGCAAATAGTCGACTCGTCTTACTTCGTTGTGATTGTGCGCTCCCTATCGATTGATTGATTTTTATCTAGCACGCTTTGGATATTGGAATACGATTATCGGTTTTGTCAATTAGTTTGGATGAACTGGCATCATGTTTTCTCCGAAGCGTAGACGAGTTTGTGTGATTTGTGGTCGCTCCGTTTTACATAGAAGACAATTTACTATAACGAACAAAATATTTGAAAAAACCCCTACCCATGCGGGGATTTTTGGATTTACTCTAGCGCGGCAGAATAACATAAGCACCCTTGCACCTTGTGCAGTACTCCCATATTACCTGAGCCCTATATGTAGGGTCGAACTAACTAACTAAATTAATTCCCTTGTTTCATTAATGTTCGTTCGTTATAATACTTGTACCTATTTAACTTAAAATAACTAAAGACCCCCGGGATGGAATTTGATGCGCTTTGGCACAGATGATCATGACTATAATACCTTTCAAACAAATGTAGTTTAAGCCGTGGCGGACGTGGGTGCAGCGTCCATACAATTTTGCCCAATGTCCTTTAATATATATACATACGTTTTTGTATAAATGTTTTTTTTTAATCAATAGTTCCGCTGCGGGTAAAAACGAGAGTCCCTACAAACCGATATTTTTTGTTTTGTGTGTTTGATGTTGGTCGCAGATGACCTTCACAGCGTCACCGGGCTTGGGGACGGCGAGATCCTAAGGGGGACCTCAAGCCGAAAGTTGGCGAGTGCATCTAGAGGTATTCCAGGCGGATGACATTTCCCCACGGGGGTCATACCGATCAGCTAATACCGAGCGCATTTAGTCAGGGTAGGCAGTCGTTTATACTCGGTGATATCTTACCATAGGAAGCATCTATTCTACAATCTGCTAATGGCAGATGTGGCAATAAAATTTTCAAAAAATAGTCATATTTTAGAAAAGCAAAACGTACTTTTTGGCTACGAACTTTGAAGAAAAGAAATACAAGAAACGTCTTAATTTCTATTTGAAAGATACTAGAACGACTTATTAAATAGGCGTTGGAATAAATATCATAAAATGTAAAGAAAAAACGCTACTATGGCAAAAGCACTTGCTGCGCGAGCGGTGCACAAACTGACCGCTTCTCATGGGGTTGCCAGAGTGGAACCAATTTTTAGTATAGACGATAAGATTGAGGGACAAATAAATCTTTATTACTGTGTTTTCATTTGTATAAAAGTCCACTTTGTTTATAGTTAAATTCAGGAAAATAAATTATACCTTGGTAATTTACGCAGATTTTGTTCTAGGGAGGGTCATTAATAACTGCATTTACCTTATTACATTATTATAGTAATCATATTGATCTAAAATAATGCAGTATTTGTGAACGTATGAAATACATTTTAGCAGACTTTTTGCGCAAATTAACGCAGGTAACATCGCCGGGCACAGCTAGTATTTCCATAATTTGAGCTATAAACACTCCGCGGGTATGTTTATGGCGATAAGGAAAATCCCTACCATTGCTATCTGCTACTGCGCAAATACAATTCATAGTAACAAAAGAGTAACAACAGTTTTACCAAACTTCTTCATTTCTGTTTTAACCTTGACGTCTTTGACATAGAGATCATAAAATAGATATAACAAAATTTACACTTTGTATTAAAATTATTTACATTTCACTTATCATGATTGCAACAATATAAAATCTGATATTTCTTTTATTGTTGGGACAAACATGGACTTGATTTATTTTTAAAGACGAAGAAAAGCTTTTAGTGCATTGATTGTTATCTTTGCGTTGAGTTCAATTTTCCGTGAAATCGTGCTACGAACAAAAGGTTTATACTTAATCCAATAAATATTCATTGAATCCATCTTCAACTTGTCTCACGATCCTGAACGCCTACACGAATCTAATACGGTTCAATGAACATTTCTTCGACGTAGCCTTTCTATAATGTTAAATGAAAAACCACAACTACTAGTACAGACAAGACCATGGATGGATAACTAAGTTGTTTTTTTTAAGGAGCGTGTGGGCATACCCTTTCTATTCAGCCAGTTAAAACATTACAGGGTTAAAACTCTGTTGATGATTGGTATGATTATAAAAGTTAGCGAACTTACCTATGTTTTAACAGAACATTAAGTGTAGAAAGCACTGTATCCCATTACGCGAAGGCTGCGGAGGGAGGTTCAGCGCATGTGTGTAGCGTCGCGATGTTCGCTGTCTACTGAAACGCCTCCTTTTCAGGGCAGTGTGGTTGCGCGCCCGTCACAAGGTTACAGCGGGTTAAGCAGCTAGTTAAGCCCTTATTATTTTTGTGCTAGACGAATCTACAAATAATACCTACGTAAAATTTATGTTAAAATAACGGGTACAATAATAAAAATGTTTCTTTTAAATTTTATTGTATTTTTGTTTACTGATCCAGAAATAAAAAAAAATGTAACAGAAATTAGCCAACTTTATTTAAATCGAATTATAAAGGTCATAAGATATTTTCTTAAATTGAGGAAAAATACAAATCATATAATAACTTAACTGTTTCTTGAGAACAAAATCAAACGTGGCGTATAGTTAACGTAGTTAACGGTATGAAAGGACAATGTTAAAATTGGCCTAAGAACCAACACCAATTTGGCTTTTATGAGAATTCTTAGTATATTTTTTGCGATAATTATCAGTATTTAGATTGTGACGGACACTTCCAGTTAAGTAAGCTAAATTAATAAGTAAAAAAATAATCTGAGACAATAAATATCATTTTATGTGTATAATCTATGGCAGCGCTGCAAACAAAACACTTTTTCTTCCTAATGCCGGCACTTCACTTGGCTATTCGTATTTGCTATTTTAATGCATGACATCACTCTGTCCTTTTCATTCCTTATTACGCATGACAAGGACAAACTGTTGTTAAGTGAAGGGCCGGCATAAAACTCGTTGGTCTGTGGTTGTGGTGCGTGCAGTTTGCATTCGTAGTAATCTGTGGCATTCGTGCATTCCAAAGAGTAGTTTATTATACCGGAAAGTGCATTCTCGTTTCGGATTACCTGTTGTGTGTGTTTATTTGCGATTGTTTTTCCTTTAATTTAACTATTTCGGCTATCTAATATGCCATCGATGTTACCAAAGAGCAGAGCCCTTATTACCCAGTACTAATGAACCTGTGCCACAACATCCTGAGAGGATCATACTGCCAAATTATTCAAGAACACCTGATACACATTCACGCTGCATATTTTCACAATATTCATGTGATATACAAATAAATACAATAAACAACATGATACAAAGGACATTGTTCAGCGTCCATACATAGTTAGCCTAAGAACCAACAAACATGAAATATTATTTTCTAGGTTCAAAATCGTAAGTAAATGACTGTAAAAACAAATATTTTTGACGGACACTTCTGAGAACTTAAATTATTAGGAAAACTAAAAATTTAACTAAAACATAGGTCAACCTATGAATTTAGTATGAACTCAGTATGAAGTGAATTAATATTACAACTAATTCATTTTATTCGGTGCGATTTTAAAGAATAACTATTAGGAAAAACTTGGTAAGGTAGGAATCATGAATAAAATAAAAACTGTAGTTTTGCTTCTTATTTATTGACTATTTTTCACACAATTGTATCATATTGTTTATTGTATTTATTTGTATATCACATGTATATTGTGTAAATATGCAGCGTGAATGTGTATCAGGTGTTCTTGAATAATTTGGCAGTATGATCCTCTCAGGATGTTGTGGCACAGGTTCACTAGCACTTGGTAATAAGGGCTCTGCTCTTTGGTAACATCGATGGCATATTAGATAGCCGAAATGGGGAAAAACAATCGCAAATAAACACACACAACAGGTAATCCGAAACGAGAATGCACTTTCCGGTATTTAAACTACTCTTTGGAATGCACGAATGCCACAGATTACTACGAATGCAAACTGCATGCACCACAACCACAGAGTATCAAGTTTTATGCCGGCCCTTCACTTGACAACAATTTGTCCTTGTCATGTTTAATAAGGAATGAAAAGGACAGACTGATGTCATGTTTTAAAATAGCAAATACGAATAGCCAAGTGAAGTGCCGGCATTAGGAAGAAAGAGTGTTTTGTTTGCAGCGCTGCCATAGATTATACACATAAAATGGTATTTATTGTCTCAGATTATTTTTTAACTTTTTAATTTAGCTTACTTAACTGGAAGTGTCCGTCACAATCTAAATACTGATAATTATCGCAAAAAATATACTAAGAATTATCATAAATGCCAAATTGGTGTTGGTTCTTAGGCCAATATTAACATTGTCCTTTCCTAATAGTTATTCTTTAAAATAGAAAATGAATTAGTTGTAATATTAATTCACTTCAAACTGAGTTTATACTAAATTCATAGGTTGACCTATGTTTCATTGAATATTAAACATAACCTCAAAAAAAAATTTGTTTTCCTAATAATTGAAGTTTTCAGAAGTGTCCGTCAATAATCTTTGTTTTTACAGTCATTTACTTACGATTTTGAACCTAGAAAATAATATTTCATGATTGTTGGTTCTTAGGCTAACTATGTATGGACGCTGAACAATGTCCTTTATAGGTACAATAGCCAGTTCTTGTATCCTTGATGCTCTGTCAACCTTGCACGTGAACTATGTTTTAGACAGCCATGAATATAAAGACTGAGTTAGACGAGTTCACGGTCTGTTTAACATAATACTGTTATGTTTTGCATTTATCTCATAGATAAACATCAATTTCTAAGAAGACTTTTGATTCTACGTAACTTTTTAATTCATCAATTCCTTTTTTTAAATAAGAAACTAAACTATTTTGATGGCTATAGAAATATTTTTTAATATAGTAAAACGCTAAGCGCTTTAGCCGCTGCGAGGTCATTTCAGCAACCTCGTGTTCCCAAACATCATTGATTTTCGAATAGCTTTTTATCTCAAAATCTTTCAAAAGGCCTTAAAAATTCTAATGTAGGTTGCTGTTCCATGTATAATGACGGCAATTTCGTAGGTATTGATCAAATAATTTTAATAATGTGTTATACCTATTACAGGTGTCAGGGGTTATGTCGTATTTATAATAACTATTAACGATCCAAGTAAACCGTAATAAATAAATATAAATGAGTAACCTCATAAAAATTCATGCTAGACTTGGATCAAAAGAAAAACATACAATGTACTGCATTCAATTGTGGATGTTAGACTTAGAAACTCATTAAAGGATAGAGTTGTTTGATAAACCATCCTGAGGAATTCTGAATTTTTGAGATTAAAGTTTTTATAGATACTTTACGCGATATAATGATGTAATAAGGTTAAACCCGTGTAGTTATTTAAAAGATATAAGTTATCACATGATATCAAGTGTGACTGGAGCCCAGACTGATTGAAAACGTCACCATCAAACACCCTCCCCACAACCACACCTGTACCCAAAGGAACAGTCACTGTACTTGGCTATAGTTAAAACAAAACGACTAACCAGTACTATCGCCATAATTAAAAAAGGCCATTCTAACATTTGGTAAATTGTGAGAAAAATCGACTTCAAGATTTATATCGGTTTTAGGCAAAAAAAAATACAATATTTTATTTTTCACAATATATGAATGAAAATTGTTGTATTTACATGACTTCTTTATGACTATTTAATTAAGGGATTTTATTTTATTGAAATTTATTAAAAAAAAATTTTTTTAGTAAAAAAGGCACGAATAATCAGGTGTGACTTTTAGATGTAACATTTTGTGTTAAAATGAAATATACCAATCAAAGGGTATTTATTTTACCATAAACAAGTAAAAAGTGATCATAATATTTTATCCGATTAGTTTAAAAAATCAACCCAATCATTAATTTACTTGGTAAAATAGAAAAAAAATCAAATACTTAATATAAAAAATAACAAAATAATCTACAGAAGCCATATTTATATATTCTTTGACTTTTTAACTTATCATTGCTCAGGTGTGTGGTGTGTCTTTGAGCTTACTGTATTTCAGTTTAATGATTATAGTAGTACCTACAAAAAATGGCCGATTACGAATACGTAAAAAAGTCAATTTTGAAAAAAAAAAGTTGTGCCCTTTTTCTTATGACGGCAGAGTACACAATCTAAAGAAGTACATAAATAAATATGCTTGTCATCATAACAAAAAATAATGGAAGGAAAGATTTGATACGGTCACTAACGCACCATTTCGGATGAAGTCCTTTTCAAGGGTTCTGTACATATCCAAGCGGTGACAACGCAATGGAAACCACCGATGTCCGTGCGTTCGGTCTGGTTCATCTGTCAGCGGGCTGTTTAATTTCATGCACCTTGAGGAGCTCGATAGCGCAGGTGGTAAGCGCGTTCTGTGGAAGTAAAGCACCTTTCGAAATAGTCAGTCATTGGATGGCTGACCAAAAAATTATCATGCGGAGCTCTTCCGTGCTTCGGAAGGCACGTTAAACCGTTGGTTCCGTCTGCATATGTAGTCGTTCGCACCCACCAAATGACAATAAGTCCGCGTGGTGGGTCACGGTCACGGCCCGATCTCCCTATTCCATCCATAGATAGATAGATAACACTTTATTATGCACACCAAATTACATATTACACACTAGGATAATAAATAAAAATGATTACAATAAAAGATTCACGATTGAACATATTCATAAATATGTACTATGCAAGTATACAAATATTAAATGAATGAGTACAGAGACATACACATTCATACATACAGTTGGAACAACATAAACAACTACTCTGAAAGGAAAAAAACTTTTATCTGCTTCTTAAATAAACCAATCGTCTGGGCACGTCTGATGTTAACGGGGAGAGAGTTCCAGAAGCGCACAGCTTGAACACAAAAATAACATTTATAAAAGGTGGTATTATGTGATGGAGTTTTAAGGCTCAAATTCTCTGATGAGCGTAAAGACTGAGAGTGGGAACAGTGGAGAAAACTGAAAAGCTCTTTAAGATAATAAGGATAAGAGGGGTTAAACAAAACATTGTAAAGAAGAGAAAGTATATGAGTATCCCGGCAACGACGAATTGGCTGCCACTTGAGTTGACAATGAAACTGGGAAACATGTTCATATTTTCTTAAACCAAATACGAACCTGATGCAGAAGTTTTGAAGACGCTCATGTTTATTTAGCTTGTCCTCCGTAAGATCTAGATAGCATGAGTCAGCATAGTCAAGGGCTGGAAGCAACAGAGATTGAGATAGCATAATTTTAGTGGTAGTGGGTAAAAAGTTACGTAGTCTTCTTAACGAACCAGCAGACGCATACAGTTTTCGACTTATAGCTTGCAGCTGTGGCTTCCAGCTTAATGAACTATCCATTATCACTCCGA